CCTTCCTTAAATTGTGGGCATTGGGTATTTTGTCCCAGCAATGAAAAGTGACTGAGACACTTATGAACATAAGCCTTTTGGAAGAAGAAACGCCATGTCCTCAGAAGAGAGTGGTCCTAAACCTGTTGGTAAATAGAGGAACGTAAAGCTCCATTATTCAGAACTGCTGAGGGCTGGGGAGATGGCTCAGGAGAATAAGCACTTGCCTGGCAAGCACAAGGGCCTGAGTTCAATCCCCAGTACCGAAGGGGGGAAAAAAATCCAAACTGCTGGGAGCTCTTTCTTGCAAATGATGCCAGGTCCAGGGTTCACAGCAGAATCAGCTGGGCTGCTATTAGGTGGCCTCAGCAGGCAGCTTCCACCACTCAATTGTAATGCGGCCGTAAATGCCTGTGAGTCCATATAAATGAAGCCACCAGAGCCCAAAAAACAAATGTCTCAGGCTTTGAGTATGGCAGAAGACAGCCACTCGCCCTGGCTTCCACTGTACCTCTGCATGTGGAACCGGAGCTCAGAGCTGTTTGTGTTCTACCAGTTAGTCGGAGATAGGAGCCTTTTGTTTTATTATCGGTTGGGAGATGACTTGGAAAGCAGCAAGGGGATGAACCCAGACAGTGTGTGTAGCAGAATGAACTGTGCTTTGGGGAGCCATTGGTGGCAGAGCTCCGGGCGCCAGTACCCACGGACACCATTCAGGCTCCACTTACGTGCTTCTGCGCCATGGCCTGAGGTTCGGGTGAACCGGAGATTTCTCTGCCATGGCAAGGAGGTAACAGATCTGAATCTTACTGAAGTTTCCTACTTGATCGCCAACAGGTCTATGACATTGCATTTAGCCGGGCTGGAGGCGGCAGGGACATGTTTGCCTCTGTGGGCGCCGATGGCTCCGTCCGAATGTTTGATCTCCGCCACCTGGAGCACAGCACCATCATCTACGAGGACCCACAGCACCACCCCCTGCTTCGCCTCTGCTGGAACAAACAGGACCCTAACTACCTGGCCACCATGGCCATGGATGGAATGGAGGTGAGCACCCGGGCAGGCTAGCAGGACCCTGTCGCCTGACAGTGCTGCGTAGTGTGTCTGCGAGACTGGCTAGGAGCTGCTGGCTGGGTTGCTCCCAGGGACTTTTTGGAAGTATCTGGAGACAGTTTTGGTTATGACAGCCCGAGAGGAGGTGGATGGTATTGCTGGCATCTCGTGGGTAGAGACCAGAGCCCTGCTGAGCATCCCACAGTGCACAAGCTGCCCGCCACACAGTGCTGTGCAGGATATCAGCAGTGCTCAGATGGGGAAAGCCGGGTCTGCAGCTAGGACTGAGGGCTGAACACTTCTTGTACTTAAGAGTGTTGGGTTTAGATCCAAGTTAGGCAGTACTTAAGGAATAACCTAAATCATTTGTGTATACGGGCTGGGTGAAAAAAACAAAAACACGGTTCCTGCTCCCGTGTTCTGGACAGAGTCAGCCAGCTTCAGCAGGCACATGTAGAGAAAGCAGCTCCCTCCAGGCTGCTGCTCAGGAGAGAACTCTAGGTGAAAGGGGGTGCCGGCATGGACCGTGGCTGGTGACGCTCGCACTGCAGCCTTCTTGCACCCCCACTTTGGCATTGATTGGGTCTCGTCCTGCTGCAAAGCAGAATTCTTGTCACAGGCAACTGCTGGGACTCAGTGATTATCCAAACTCATGTCGCCTGCTTCTACTTCCCTTTTTCCTATTAGTCTAAGGGCCATGTCGGGCCGGCCTGATAGCTGAGTGGACTAAAGCATCTGCTTAGGCAGAGTGCAGTGGCTGGGGTTCAATCCCCAGTGTGCAGTGTCAGCCCCACCCGTGGGGTGAGCTAAGACTTGACTGAGACTAGGCATGGTAGACTGCACCTGTAATTCCAGCACTTGGGAGGCTGAAAACAGGAGAATCACTATGAGTCTGATCTACATAGTGAGACCCTGTAGACCCTGTCCTAAATACAGTAAATAAATAAATGCCATATTGTTTGAGACAGGGACTGTGCCTTTCTTACTGTTTTCATATTCCTCAGTCCTGAGGAAACCCTGCCTAATATTATTTAAACTCACAAATGAAAAAGTTATGTTGGAGGAAAATGTTTGCATATTTTTCTTTGCTTGGTCAGACGTGCAGTTCTGAGACCTTCTACTGTGTTTCGGCAGGTGGTGATTCTGGATGTCCGAGTTCCCTGCACACCTGTCGCCAGGTTAAATAACCACCGAGCTTGTGTCAATGGCATTGCTTGGGCCCCACATTCCTCCTGCCATATCTGCACCGCAGGTAACTGTGGTGGGGCACGGGGGGTAGTAAGGAGCCTGCACTTTGGCGCCTTAGGAGTGCAGTCCTTACTGTTTTGAGATTTACACAGAGAGCTTCCTGCGCTGTGAAGTGGCGGTGTTTTCCATCTCCAGGTGATCTTGTCCCCTCACTTGGCAGAGCGTCTTCCACATGCACTAAGTGGACAGCATGTAGCAGGCGTGGGCCTGAGCTGCAAACGTCCTGGAAATCTGGGTGCATACAGGGAACGTAGATCCAGGAGAAAGCACCCTCTTGAATGTAACAGAAGCTTGGGAATGCCCAGGTCGATGTCTCCTGGGCCTTGCGGGCTTCACGTGCCGCGTCTGCGGAGGGCACTGGCCGCACTGAGGGTGCAGAGCCTTCTTTGGTCAGTGATGTGTCACTTGCTCTCTTTTCACACCAAATTGCATGTCCCTTAAAAACATGCTGGTTGTAAGTTTGCTTTTATTCTAGAAATAATGTTGCTCTATCATTAAAGCAAAAAATAGTGTC